TATTAGTTTATTTGATAATTTCTTTTATTTTTAATCCTAAACAAAACAAACACCCTGTTAAAATCATGGAAATTTAACATATATAAAGTCCTATATTTGTTTATATGTAATTATTTTTTTTTTTTTGCGTTTTTGGAGATAATGAAATGGTAACAAATCTAATGACGATATTAACAATGAAAATTCAAAATTTCCCTCAATAAAATGCAATTTTTTTTTTTTATGTCCTAAAGCAGACAGGTTTGGACAGGAGTATTCTAGAAACAAAATTATATGGTAGTAAGGTAATTAAAATGAATTTTAATATTATAGGATCAAATTTGTATACTAAGAATTTTTTTTTTCTATGTGTGACAAGAGAAGAATCATGTATGTAGCCGAGTTAACTTAGGAAAGACAATTTTCGACTAACATGACCATCACAGGGCATAAATTAAGTTTCTTATCACATACTGACATTAACAAAATGTCAAACAAAATGCAATAAACAAGAAGAAGAACCCAAAAGGAAAAAAAGGACACAAGGGGAATCAAATTGTGCAAGCAAAAAAAAAAAGTAGTTAATTAAAGAATTGTTGAGTGAAAACTACTTAAATTTTATAAACCCTAAATTGCAGCTTGCAAGAGTATTCAATGAGAATGCTTTGATCGGAAAATTTTAATCATAAAACATATTTTTCGATAAGAATATTCTCACTAGACTTAATCATAGTAAGTTTTAATATCACCATCAACAACAGTACAAGACCAACGAGTATGATTCTTTAGTTACATACCCGTCATTATTTGACTAATAAACATAACTATTATATCCAATTTTCCATAACAAAATACAAAGTAATTGTTTGAACCATTGACAAGATTGTTGACAGCCTAACAAAAATACTAATTGATTGCTCCTCTTTGTAAAAGATTTTTTGATAATATAGATTGCAATAAGCAGTTGAATCTCAATTTGTTCAAATTAACTTCAACACAAAGTCAGACAAATCAAGACCCTGGTTTGTTTATGGTCCAATTCTTTTCATGATTTAACTTTACCGTATATCCTCTTTAATAATATGATGAAAATAGACAGAATTGCACACTGCATTATGAACTGTAACGGGACATGGAAAAATCATTTCAAACGAAGCAACTAATGGGTAACTTCATGTGATTCAATCAGAACTGTGTCTGAAGATATTCCACCACTTTCTTTTCCAGTTCGAAGGCTTTGGTAAGAACATCAGGATTGATAGGTGGGTTAGAGCCAAAGACTGCATTTGCAATAGTGATAACACCAGGATTTTGGCTGCTGAGACCAGCAAAAGCGATGGCATCAGTTTTCCCTATATTTAACTGGAAGTGAATGAGACCAACTGGGAAAACAAACACATCCCCTGTCTTCAGGACTTTGGTGAAGAAAAGATTATCTGGGTTGGATGTCACAAAGCCAACATAAAGTTCACCCTTTAACACAACTAGGATCTCCGTGCCACGAGGGTGAGAGTGAGGAGGGTTTAGTCCACCATAAGGTGCATAATCAATTCGAACCAGGGATATGCCAAGTGTGTTAAGTCCGGGTATTTGGTCAGCATTGACAGGAGTGACTTTTGATCCCACTGCATTTGATGTGTTTCCTGCTTTATCAAGCCCTGAAAAGAAGAAGTCATCTGCTGTGGCAAGCTTTGGGTCCTTGCAGAACTTCCCATTACAATACTGGATTAAAAGAAAATGACGTTAGTTACTATAAATACAGTTTTCATTGTGTGGTTAGTATGATGAAAAACATTTCTTCTTAGCTGAATGCCTTTACTCCAGGCTTTGGCATAATAAACAACAACATGAACTGAATGCATACCGGCATTCTTGGGGCCATTGAGGGCTACGCAGAAATCCATGAGAGAGCTAGGGTCAGAGGCTGAGGCTAATGTGGAAGCCAAAGCCAGGAAAGCAAAACTACGAGGAAATGGTTCACTCCTTTCATTTCGGATCGCTTTGCTCTATACTTCTAGTACTTATTTGCTATTTGCTCGAGGAGGGGATGAGGAATTTTACTTGGCATACAAGGACTATTTATAGATGAATATGCAGTACAGTTATCCTTATTTTCTCTACTTGAAGATGGTGCAGACTTGGTATGCCTCGATAGCTATCGAGATTTTCTTTTAATGCCTGTTTTGTTTCTTTATGCTATGTTCACCAAGAATATTTCAGCTAGAGGTATATGTGACTTATTTTATCCAGACATTTATTTTTCATGAAATTCTTCCATTATGGATTCTGATTGGGGTAATTGGGATTTCTTTTGTCCAAAACTAACATGAAAGGCCCGCTCCAATGGAAAGCAGTAGGTGAAGAAGACAAACAGGAACAAGTTGATCCCAAAAAACAAAAATGAAACCAACAAGAGAAAGACCATCAAAATAGTCAAATGAAGACTACAACAGGAAAGCAAGAACCAATGACAGAAGACCCAAGAATTTAGGCCCCAATTCTGATAAATAACTCGTACTAGAGGCTTATCAGCAACTTTCAATTAGTAAATAAAATTCTCTACATCAGGACAACAAAGCTTCATCTTGATACTTCTATCGTTCGTTGGATTTATTTTGTTCAAAATTTGATAAGCAAGTCAGCAGAGGAAATATTCCTGCCATTCAAGTTTTAAGTAAAAAATGTTTACTGAATAGTAGAAGCATTTAGAACGTTAGCCCGTCTTGCTTTGAAACTAAAAGGAATGGTTTATTTGAAAAATTGGTCACTTGATCCATGTAGAACTTGTGCTAGAAGCAAAAGTATATGCACTGTTCAGAAAAATCAAAGCTACAGTTTTTTCCCCTCCTGGATGGCATACAGTAGTTGAAAATAGCAGTTGGCTCAGTAATGGTTCTTCCCACATAACTAGATGAACATTCAATAATCATACACAATATTAGTCCCTTAATCATTAGGGTCAGTTGGGACATCCTATAGTTAATGAACTAAGTAGGAAAGAAAATTGTTCAAAGATGTGGCAATAGAGCTAGCCGGCTAACTTGTATTGTATAATCAAGAGAAAATAAAGATGAAGAGTGGTTAAATATTGGTAGGTGATGATGACATTGAACCTTGAATAAAAAATCATAATTTTGAACAAATTGCAACATCCAACACTAATGTCCATAGCCGATAATATTCCAAAATTTCTATTTTAATAACCCAAATCATGCTGTGTAGTCTTCCATAGCTTTTGTTTTAAGGAATGATCACTAGTCATTGTTTTATACAAATTTGATTTTTATTTTTTTATGTATTAGATATCCTATGAAATAAATTTTCAGTCAGTTATGGCAGTTTCTATTTTAGACAGGTTCTTATTGGTCAAATTTATATTACTATTTTACTAGTAAAATATAATTCAGAATGGATTTCCTATATATATATATTTGAGTAAAAAAAAGGGCATTATTCTTAAATTCAAAGACATAATGCTCACTTGTTCATGACAGTAATTTTTTTTTCAGTCATTATCATGATGGATAGAACGTTTCGATCAGACTTCGAGACTGTTCAGTGCAGAATGTATCATAAAAGTTTACGGAAGGTTCTGTCGGTTGCCAAGTATAAATCTACTGAAACCATGTATACAGGAAAGGTTGTGTCAACTGTCAAATAAAAAAAAGAGTCATTTGTTAACGATTGCTGTTTGTTATTGAAATGGTTGCTTATCATTTTGCAATAGTTATTTGGTGACAATATCAGTAGTAACTGCCCTCAAGAAAGGCCCTGAACTTGAAGCTGGGTAGATGGTTAATGACAAAATACTTGCTGCAGCAATGCCATGAGACTCACAGAAAGGTCAAGGTCCAGAATGTTTTCAGGTCCCTATGAAGATCAGTTGATTGACTCTTTAACAATATTCCATGCATTATTTGTAATCTTTTGGTTGGGGGTTTTTCAGTTTTCAACTTTCTGAAACTATGATCAGATGTCTCTCTAAATCTTCTCAGCGGCACTGGATCTTTGGCTTCTTATTAACAAATTCAGTGTGTTCTGGATTCTGGCAATTAAGTTTGGAACTTTCCAAGATCTAAATTAAAGTATTCTCAGAAAGGGTGCTTTCAATGAGATCTAGATAAAGGTTGACATTAGCTCCTAATTTGGAGCAAACTGTAATAACTTAATATATCCAAAATCAACATACAATTGGAGGATTACATCAGCAGAGATACATAAGTAACATTTTTATTTTTTATTTTATTTTACTTCAACAATAATTACTAAATAAATGATGGAAACATGTCAAAAATTGTTCAAATAAGTAACTGTTCCATGGACGTTGAAAATTGGTCTAATTGTTATCCCACCAGAATTTTGACTGAAGATATTTCACCACATTCTTGTCCAGCTGGAAGGCTTTGGCAAGAACATCAGGATTGATTGGTGGGTTTGAACCAAAGACTGCATTTGCAATGGTGATAACTCCTGGATTTTGGCTGCTGAGACCAGCAAAGGCAATGGCATTAGTGTTCCCTATATTGAATTGGAAATGAATGAGACCAACTGGAAAGACAAAAACATCTCCTGGGTATAAGACTTTGGTGATGAGACGGTTATCTGGGTTGGATGTAACAAAGCCGACATAGAGTGTGCCTTCTAGGACAACTAGGATCTCCGTGGCACGGGGATGAGTGTGAGGGGGGTTTAGCCCACCATAAGGTGCAAAGTCAATTCTTGCCAAAGATATGCCAAGAGTGTTGAGTCCTGCAACTTGTTCCACATTAACAGGAGTGACTTTTGATCCCAGTTGATTTGATGTGTTTCCCGGCATGTTCAGCCCTGAAAAGAAGAAGTCTTCTGCTTTGGCAAGCTTTGGGTCCTTGCAGAACTTCCCATTTACAAATACTGCATGAAAGAAAAAAATGTTACTTGATACCATGCCATGCAGAAAGAAAAGATTCTCTGTAGTTAAGTATGTTTCTGGAGAATATAGAAACACTGCATCCTTGCTGAATGTCTTAGTTCAGGCATCTATATCTATGCACCCAACTTATAAATACAAATCAAAATAGAGAAATTAAGGGAAAACATACCAGCATTCTTTGTGTCATTGAGAGCTACACAAAAGTCCTGAAGAGGGCTGGGGTCAGAGGCAGAGGCAAATGAGGAAGCCAGAGCCAAGAAGAGAAAAGCTACAAGGAAATGAACACCTTTCATTGTAGCTAGGCTGGTTTCAGGCTTGATTTCTTAGTTTCTTGCTTGGGTAGGATGAGTAATCGCTCTTGAAAGCATGCCTATTTATAGGTTTGAGTCTTTGAACAAGTATTTACCTGTTTCTCATGGACTTACCAAGTCAGCAGCGACTTGGTTTTTGTTTCTCAATAATATTTGAGGATGAATTATTCTTCAGCCACCATGCAAGTATATCAATTTTGAATCCCCATTTCCAATGCTTAAATCACTACATTTTGACGTGGAAGTGGTCTTCTTGTGCATTCCAAATGTTTTCCTTGTTTCTGAACTGGGGTATTGAATTAACTGAGGTACTCCATTGACTTTAGCATAAATTGATAGTTACTGCAGGCTGCCAGCACTTCATCCAATTTAACTTGCAATTCAATTGAAGTTGACAGTTTCCCTTACAGAAACTTCTTTCTTAATTTTCCTAGTATTTAAATTAAACATGCTGGCATTGCAGATGAGGCAGATGATACATGTAACTAGTCCATTGCACTTAACTGCAATTTACGCTACAAAATTTTGACGATTCAATCAATCACTTCTGTTGAGCAGCTCTGATAAAACTAATATGCTTGATTCTTTATTCAGAAAAAGAAAAATGTACTAAAACCAATATTATGGGTTTTTTTTTTTTTTTTTTTGTTTCTTCTTCTTTTCCCACTTCACCATTGTCACCATTTGCGAGGGGTAGCAAACTTCAACTGGCCTCAATTAATTCAAATAGATTGTAAGACTGAATTAGTAGTAATGAAAAGAAATGAAAGTACTAAAAGGAAATTTTAATAACCAGCAAGGCAGATTCTATGAATAGTTTTTGTTCTTAGTTGACCAGGTCTATTTTAACATGTTCCTTGATACTCAATCATATGACATCTATGCTTATCACATTCAAAACATTATTAATTTCTTGCAAGTTCAATTAATAAACCATGCTAGACTGAAACATTTCAGTTCTTTTGAACACTTCAGTTATCCAAAAATGAATGGGGCTGCTTTGAATTGATCTCTGATCTAATGCGCGAGAACTGTTTAAGAATTGTGGAAGACTCAAAGTAACTCTTACGGACATGTATACTCTTTGAGCATTGAGTTCAGTTGGTGATTTCTTTATTTAATCAACTTAACTAACCATTGAAGCAAATTATCAATCCCAAATGGAAAATAGCCTTTCTTGACATTATGTATCCTTTGTAATCAATCTTTGTTTCAAAATGGCAGACTTATAGATACCGTTCATAAATTTATGTTATGATGATCTGGTCTAAGAAGAGTTTCATATTTTTCATGACAGTTAATTTCTACTTATTCATTAGATTAATAAAAAGCAAAGGTACATACGTGACAACCCAATCTCACATTGAAAGATTTTAAAAATCTGTTATGATATATAAGTTGAAATTTAAATCAAAACTTATAAGATATTTTTTGTGAGATAAAATTATGAGACATTTAGATCAAAGTAGATAATATCTCACAAATTAGGTACGAATTTATACAAATAATATTAAAGAGGTCACCAGTTGGACAGAAGCTAAGTGCTACATCATAAAAATCACACGATTTTGTCTCACAAAAAGTATTTTATAAGTTTGAGTTTAGATTTTTACATGTACTACTTTTATTCATTGTTAACCAAATTATAATTATAATATAATATAATAATTTTGATATTTTATAATAATAAAATTGAAATAATTATCATCATATTAAATTAAATTAAAAATGTAAATTTAAGTTAAAAAAATAAATATACCAAAAAAATTAAAATTAAAATTCCAGTAAAAAATAAATATTTAATGTTTCTTTGTTTTGAATCTTTTTAGAAGTTTTCTTTTAAGTATTTTAGTGTTAAGTCATCATCTTCATTTTTTTTATATTTTTCTTTTTTTTAAAAATTTTTTCGATTATAAAAGATTGTCTTCTATCACAATCAAATAAGATTTTGTACTTTCCTTCTTCTCTATTTTATGTTTTTTCTAGAGCTTTTTTAAGCTTTTTTAGTGGTAGATTTTTATCTTCAATTTTATAAATTTTTTAGGCAATTGATCATTTCTGAACTCATTCAAACTATTACGTTTCATCTATTTGCTTTTGAAAATTTAAATTTGTTATTTTGATTTGAAACCAAATTGTTATAAAGTTTTTGGTACTTGAAATAAAGTAAATATATAATTTTTTTTTCATTATTAACTTATATTTTTAACATGTACTTATTTATGTAATATAAATAATTTTGTAATTTCATTTTATAGTAAAAAATGCATACTTACATGAATTTTACTAATTAAAAATATTAATTTGTAAACATATTCTAAAAAAGGGATATGAAGTAATAAAAAAACTATTAGTATCTTAATGTAATAATCAATGATGTTTATTTATGTATTTATATGAGATATTGACTAAAACTACTTTTAGTATCAAATACTGATTTCTTAAAAAGCAATTAAATATACATAACTTACTAAAATATGTTATACTAAGAGTTTAAATAAAATTTTACTTAAAGGTATACCTTATCCTAATCAAATAGCTTTTTATGTTGTTCTTAAATGTTCAAATACTTTTTATAATTAACTTTGGTTTAATATTATTATTGTTTGTTAAATAATGAAATATCATAATTTGAAAAATAATAAGATATGATCTATTTTAGACAAATATCAAAAGATATATTTTGAAGGTAAACTACGTTTTAAATCTTAGACTTTAAAATTGATAGTGAATATATTTTTAATATTTGAACTCTTTTTTAATTAAAATGGAATAATTTCGATGAACACTTAATTATATATCAAGTATAAGTCATACAAAAAATTTATTATTTAAACGATATTGTTATAAAATTATAATTTATAGAATTCATACTATTGTTAATATTATTAGATCATATACTTTAATTTAAAATATTATGTACCTGAGAAAATAACTAATAGGTAATTTTTCTATGGTGTTTTTCAATAAATTTAGACTCATTATTTTCTCTTTCATTTTAAAAATTTTTTTGTATGATTGCTATCAATGTTATAAATGATACCATAAAACACAACAATTTATTTTAGTAAAGATATAGCATTAATCTAGTTACTATTAACATATTATCAAATAGACAATCAATGACATGCAAATATAGATAAAGTTATTGCAAATTTTCACTTCAAAATTTAATTTTTTTAAATAAAAATATGTTGTTATAGTAATTGGTACATGAATATTGTTTTAATTATTTATATATGTGTACAATATCCATAAATATTGTAACTCAATACCTTAGTATTAAATGGCAATTAATAAAATTTTTAAATGAATTAAATATGTTAGACATATTAAAAAATACAGCTCTATATCAATATTTAACCAAAAAAAAATACTAAGTTAGTAATGATTTACTACTATATGTTATTGATGATTTGCTGCTAAGTTATATCACTAATTTATTATCAAAATATGAATAATTTACTATTAAGTTATCCACACTTTACTATTAAGCTAAAATTGATTTACTAATAAGTTATCATTAATTTTTTATTATCACTAATTTATAACTAAATTATAAGTGATTTAGCATTTAATTATCAATAAATTACGACTAAGTTAACTCTGATTTATTATTATAATTGATTTATTACTAAGTTTTACTTCACTCTTGCTAGTAACTGGAGTTCAATCCCTAAAACTTTAAATATAAAAAACTTATCTTCGATGATAATTAAGTTATTACTAATTTATTACTATGTTATCAGTGATTTATTATTAAATTATTAATGATTTACTATTAAGTTATAATGATTTACTACTAAGTTATAAATGATTAATATTAAGTTGTTAATAATTTATTATAAAATTGTAACTAATTTACTATAAAGTTATCGATGATTTACTATAAAATTATTATTGATATATAACTAAGTTATAAGTGACTTATTATTATGTTATTAGTGATTTATTGCTAATTTAGTGATTTACTATTATATTATTATGCATTTACTAATTACCATTGATTTATTACTAAGTTTTCAACAGTTAGCTATTAAGTTATCAATTATTTACTACTAAATTATCATTGAATTACTACTAAGTTATTTATGATATACTATTAATTTTATCAATTAATTACAATATATGAGATAATTTTCTTTTTATATAATATAACATTATTGTTTTGTTCAAATTTATAATTTTTCACTAAATTTTTTTAATGAAAAAGTTCATGGTAGGTTTATCCTAATCCTTTTCTCTTTCTAGTAACCAAGGTTCAATCATTAATAACTTTAATTATAAAAAAAATGTTATCACTAATTAACAAATAAGTTACTACTCACTTACTACTACCTTATTACTGATTTACTACTAAATTATTATGATTTATCACTAAGTTATAAATGATTTATTACTAAGTTATAAATGATTTATTACTAAGTTATTGATAATTTACTATTAAGGTATTAATAATTTATTATAATGTTATTATTGATTTACTATAAAGTTATTGATGATTTACTATAAAGTTATTAATAATTAACTAATTTATAACTAAATTATCATTAATTTATAAATAAATTATCAATGAATTAAAACTAAATTATCAATGTTTTACTATTACATTATTAGTGATTTACTACTAAGTTATCGATAATTTACTACTAAATTATTAGTGATTTATTACTATGCTGTTATGCATTTGTCACTTTGTTATCATTGATTTATTACTGAGTTCTAGTGATTTGCTATTAAATTATTATTGATTTATCGTTAAGTTATTTATGATTTACTATTAAAATTATAATTTAATTACAATTAAACTAAAATAAATTTACTATTATGCTATCACTAATTTACTACTAAATTTTTATTGATTTATTACTAAATTATCAATGATTAACTATTAAGTTATCTTTTTTATGAAGTTATTATTAATTTACAACTATATTATTATGCATTTACAGTTACGTTATAATTGATTTATTATTAAGTTATTATGCTTTGACTATTATATTATTACTAATTTACTATTAAATTATAATTGATATACTATTAAGTTATATCTCTTATTTATTATACTAAATTATTATTAATTAACTATTAATTTACTAATAATTACTATTAAGTTATATTGATTTACTTTTAATTTCCAATTATTAATTACTACTTAGTTATAAATTATTTACTATTAAATTATCATTGATTTATTACTAAACTATTTATGATTTATTACTAAATTTGTCAATTAATTACTACTCCCTTTATTTGTCCCAATTAAATTGTCACAATTGATTTGTTTTTGTTAAATTTTTCTAACTTTGACATCTATTATTTTAAATATTTTAATAAATTAAATTTTACAAAATATAAATTAGAAACCCCTTCCTTTAAAGTTTTTAAAATATATTTTTTCATATTTTATCAATAATAAATAAAAATAATAGGTAATTAAAATTGAAAAAAATTGACCAACAAAAATAAAAATGTGACAATTTTATTGAGATGGAAGGAGTATTAAACTGAATCTTATTTGCTATTAACTTATCATTGATTTATTACTAAGTTATCAATAATTAACTACTAAGTTATCACTTATTTTTTATTAAGTTATCCTTAATTTACTAATATATGTTATACATTTACAATTATGTATAAATGATTTATTGTTAAGTTATTTGTTATTTCTTACTATGTTATTATGTATTTATTATTATGTTATCATACACTATTAAGTTATTATTATTTTACTATTAAGTTATTCATAATTTACTATACAGTTATCATTAATTTAGTATAAAGTTATTATTGATTTTGTCTAAATTATCATTAATTTATAACAAAATTATCAATAATTTGCTACTATATTATTATACATTTACTATTAAGTTATAATTAATTTATCATTAAATCTTCTATAATTAATTTAATTGTGTAAATCATATTAATAGGTGTAATATATTATAAACACTAAATTATTCATTTGTAGAAAAATTATTTTAAACCTTCTAGCCATATTGCTTGCGTTCACTGGGGCATGAATAACTTAACCAAAGAAAAACTATTTTAATAAGAAAATAAATAAAAAGTAGATAATATTTTAATTTACTAAAAAATATTAAATAAAAATGAATAGAGAGAATTTAATAAATTACCACATTTTATATATATTATAGATATATATTAAACATTTTCTTAATTATAGAATGTCTTATTCAAGGTAGGCTATAAAATCTAAAGTATATATGTTTGTGAGTATTCTAAATATTTAGCTAAAATTTAAATAAATTTTTTTATAGTAAAGTTGGCAAAATTCCAAGTGGAGCACTTTTTACACATTAAGAGAAAAAAAAAAAATTAAAGGTCATGTTATCATTTGTCATCCAACACCTTTATTTTTTTAAATCATTTTCATATATATTATGATACATTGACTCATTGAGTAATAAAAAGATTAATTTAATAATTTTACAATCTATATGAAATATTAATTAATTAATTTGTTTAATTTATATATATAATTTAACATTATCAATTGAATTAATTTCTGATCTTAATTGTATGATTATATAAATAAACATATTTTATTTCACATCCTCATACTTCAAATTTTTTATTATGTAACTAATGAGTTTAATTGTATGTCTCTCTTTCTTTATGAAATGAAGAGCTCGTTGGACATGCATGATTGGCATGTAATGTATTAATAGGAATATACCAAATTAAAAAATCACTTTTAATAATATTTACAGTTCACACTTTTATATGTATATATCATAGATGATACATGTATTTATCTATAATAAATACACTCATAAAGTACAAATAATTATTAAATAGATGCTTTCATGATAAGAGTACAAATTAATAATCATATACTTAAAGAATATAAATAAATAACAGAAAATAAACTATAACATTATTGATTCAAAGAATATAATAATTGGTTATAAAACTAACAAAGCTTTGATCATTCAACAAAACGCGCACAATTAATCACATGATTAAAATATTTTTCACTATCAAAATACAAAAATATTCTAGAGCATTCTTAATTGAAAAAATAAATTTATATTATTCAAGGAAAAATTATAAAATATATTTATAGTAGAGTTTTTAAATTTCACAATTGAAATTAGTAGTGTAACACACATACGTTTTAAACTTCAGAGTATATTAAAAAATGCTAATTGAAAAAATAAGTGAGTGATATTAAAAAAAAAAAAACCCTAATTGAAAATGTGAGTGAGTGATGTGTTAATTTTTTAACTCACTTATGGAATTAAAAAAAAACCTCAACTAATATTATATCAAATAATTTCTCTTCTTCAAGATTAATGTTTCTTAACAATATTGACTATGGTTTTATAAAAATATCTTAAATACAAAATATTTTTAATTAAAAATAAAAAAATAAGGATTGACTGAAATTAAATTGGATGTAATATAGAATCAATCTATAGAAGACAAAATAAAATCTAAGTTTAGTAACAATTCACATATACGGGAGATTATGTTCATAAAGCAAAGATTTATTTAGGCATCGTAATGTTGAAACGTGATTGTATAAAGTGATTAGAAATATTATAGTAAAATAAATCAACCATTACAATCATTAAACATATAAATATATATTTATCATAAAAAATTAAAAAATATCAAACATACGAACTTACCACAAGACATGTATTACTCTTTTTCAATAATTTTTTGATAATTTAATTAATAATTTTGTATGAACTTTAATTTTAATTCATCTAAATTAAATAAATAAAAAATATAATTATATTTAAGGACTCAGGATATGTATTATTAAAGAAGATAAAGAGTAAATTAAGTTATATTTTGAAAACGAAAAATTATATGTTTTATTTAAGATAAAATTAAATGTTTTTGGGGCGTAAATTTTATGATATAATAATTTAGACTAAAATAATAACAATTGAGCAACAGAGGAAAGATTTTGTCTATGCTTTGTTTAATATTATGGACTCATAATATGCTATAACCCATAGGATGAGAAATGTGTTTTATATGAATTTAACTTAATTATTGCTTATGATATTGAACAAAAAAAAATCCTACAAAAAAGGAGTAAATTTGGGTTAATTTTCAACAATACATCCACCATATCCCACAAATAAATTTTTAATGTAATTTAATTTGATATAAATTCTATTAATAAATTTTTAATTGATTTAAATTTAAACAACTAACAAATAAAAAGCTATATATTTAATGGCAAATAATCTTTATTAAATAAATAAATAAATGCTAGAAATTTAAAAGGTAAATTTTTTATTTTTTAAAATTCATAAGAGTATTTATGCTATTAATTTTTAACACTTTTGGATTAATTTAAATAATTAAATAATAAATGCTATATTTAATGAAAATAATCTTTAATACATAAATAAAAAATGCTAGAAATTTAAAGGTAAATTTGTTATTTCTTAAAATTTGTAAGAGTATTTATGTCGTTCATTTTAATAGTTTTAGAGTTCACATTTTTATATATAGATGATATCATATTAATTAAGAAATTAATTGCTAAAAAAATGTGGTTGAGGTATTTTATGAGATAACTTTGCATATATGTCAGATCAATTGAGAAATTAATTACTAAAAAAAAGTGGTTGATGTATTTTATGAGAGAAAACTTAGCAATTGTGAAACAAAAAAAATTGAGAGTTTTCCTTTCTCATCTTCCTTTGTGTTAGAGAGTATGAAGAATCAAGTTGAGGATCCGGAATCAGAGGCATTTTTTATAGGATAAAATTTTAAAGACTTTTGGGTCAAAGCGGATAATATCTCGCAAGTGGTGTGGGATTTCACAAATTCACAAATGGTATCAGTTAGATGAGAATTAAGTGTTTCACTGTAAGAGCTCACTTTGGAATCCTTGGGGAGTGCTACATGGTATCAATTAGATGAGGGCATAAGTTTTAACAGGAGAAGTTGCTATTGAGTTTCTGAGTCTAGATACTTGTGAGGAGTGTTGTACGGTGTGAGCCATCTCTAGAATCTCTAACATTTGGTGTAATCTAGTTCTATGATGCCGAGTTTCTAAGCGTGTTTGTGCTGAGCTTGACGAGAGCGTTAAATTTTAATACAAAAGAACGTTAAATTTTAATGGGAGGTAACAAGAGAAGAATGTTAAAATTTAATGGAAGGGGTTTATGACATTCACTCTCACATCGAGAGATTTTAATGATCTATTATGGTATATAAATTGATATTTAAATCCAAACTTATAAATCTTTTTTGTAAGATAAAACTATGAGACATTTGAGTCAAGACAGACAATACTTTATAGTTGCAAATCTCAGAACATGTACAGTTAGATGCCATGAGAAAGAACAGAAACATTTCTCTTGACGTTTATCGGGGACTTGTCTCATACCTGAAAGTTCATTCTAGGCTTGTCGTTACTCATGAGTTATTGTAAAATCATTTTATTGTAAAAGCAACATAATTTACTAAAATAAAAAAAGCATTAAAGGATCAAGTAACCACCATCTTGATCACCTGGAAGACCTCACGAAAGTAACAGATAAGTAGATAGATATTATATGATGTAGCAGCAAAGAGAATACATTTGCACTTAATATATCAAGACAGTGACAGATTTGGTGTAGTCTTATACAACGCTGTTCAATATCTAATTCCATCTATAAGCAACTGAGAGAAAGTTCTGCTCCTCAACAACCCTTTTTTACATGTCTTCCAACTTACATTATAATGTGAGGGCTATTTATATTGGACATGATTAAATTCAATCAAAGCCATGCAAACTTATTTAACAGAATTCCACCTTCAGAATTATCATTGTAGCTTTTGTGTGTATCTTGCAGGGGAAGGCAGTGTCTGGAGTATTGAATATGAAATTGACCTAACCCCAAAAATCAGCAAATTCATCTCAAGTCTTTTTATGCTGTAATAAACTGATTTGTGAGATTACAATCATAAACAATCAAGTTGTCCAAATCTCCACCTCTTGGACATTGTTTGTCACTATTCATTGCTTACCTTAGACACCATTTGATAATTAACCTCTTATTTTTGTTATATGTGTTGAGACTTGCAAATGAACAAAAGGTTTAATGCTTGAAAGTTACTTGATCTGTTTTCTAAAAGCAACATAAATGAAGCAGTTGTGTACAATTTCTGCACATTTGAGTGAGAATTATGTCCTGCTTTGGACCTGGCATACACATATAAGCATACATGTTCGCACAAGAGCAGGAGAGAGAGTGAAAATTGCACTATATATTCCAATTTCCACACACAGAATGATCACAAGGAGAGAGGAGACTGGACTCTGGGGAGGTACATTATCAACCAACCTGTTTATTGCATGATACTAAGAATAATAGTATGACTTTAATGAGGAAAATGTATGGAAACATTATTTAAAACAAACAACAAACTTATGGGGTTTTATTTTGGCTCTTAAGTAACTTGTTAATCTGACTAGAACCGGGACTGAAGATAGGTAACCACATTCTTGTCCAACTGGAAGGCCTTTGTGAGAACATCCGGATTGATTGGTGGGTTTGAGCCAAAGACTGCATTAGCAATAGTGATAACCCCAGCATTTTGGCTGCCGAGACCAGCAAAGGCAACTGCCTTAGTTTGCCCTATATTGAACTGGAAGTGAATCAACCCAATTGGGAAAACAAAAACATCTCCAGGATTAAGGATTTTAGTGAAGAGACGGTTATCTGGGTTGGATGTAACAAAGCCAACATAAAGTGTGCCCTCCACAACAACTAGGATCTCAGTTCCTCGAGGGTGAATGTGAGGAGGGTTAAGGCCACCATAAGGTGCAAAGTCAAGTCTTGCCAAAGATATGCCAAGAGTGTTAAGTCCTGGTATTTGGTCAACATTGACAGTGGTGACATTTGATCCAACTAGATTTGATGTGTTTCCTGGCTTGCTGAGGCCTGAAAAGAAGAAATCATCTGCTTCTGCGAGCTTTGGGTCCTTACAGAACTTCCCATTTACAAACACTGCACGAAAGAAATGTTAGTTGATATATATCATCCCGTGCAAAAGTAGAGTAACTTTTAGTAATGTTATTATGTTAAATTCCCAAGCTGAATGTTCTTCAGCGCAGGCATTATTAGCATCATGATCATGAAAAAAAAATCCTGAAAACATAAACTGAATGCCCACGTACCACCATTTTCGGTGTCCTTGAGAGCCACACAAAAGTCCTGGAGAGGATCAGGGTCAAAGGCTGAGGCTAATGAGCAAGCAAAGCCCAAGAGGGCAAAAGCAACAAGGAAAGAGTTACTTCCTTTCATTATGATATACCAGCAAAATAGCAATGTTTACTCCAAAGTTAGCTGGTTGTTTAATATTTCTTCTGTGAAGAGTGAGAAACTTTGCATGACAGACAGACCTATTTATAGATGGAAACCAATGACCTGGTCACTATTTTTCTTAACTAGCAGGTAAAGACTTTTCAAGAAGAATTATTTTCAAATAATTCCACTCTTTTATCCTTCTTTGTTTTACTCTTTCTACGCAGTTATTATATGCTTAAAGCACTGAAAATTGGTCCTGGAAGTAGTCATGATTCAGTCTAAAAACATATATCATATTCCTGACTTTTCACCATCCAAGTTGAATATTGTTAATTATTTAACCGTAAAACATCTTAAAATTGCATATTATTTTCATCTCATCATGCTAATTTCTCAATATAATACTAATTAATGATCATGGAAAGGCTTGTTTCTCTTGGTGGCGAATTTTTTCTCTACATGTTCACTTATTCTTTATTATTTTGGTGCAACAGGCCAACTAATTTTACATAGAACTTGATCAATTGATGTCCAAAAAGTATTTTTCACGGAGTACAAATACGATAAATTTATGTTAGGCTTGGAACTTCTGTTTTATCTCTGAAAAATCTCAGTTTGAAAAGTCTATTCTGACATGTTCACAGATACTTAAGATATGACATTAATGCTTATTACATTGAAAGCATTGATTTTTTTGTAAGATTACTTAATCTTGCTTAACTGAAACGTTTCTTTGATCATTTCCACCGTTTAGTTAGCATGACCGGAATAGTTTAGAAAAGATTCTGGAAGCAATATAGTCTGAGAATTGTGGATGAATCTGTTGGAACTCTTCTAAATTGAACATAAATATTGAATATTAAACACAGGCTTGAGAACTTGGAAAGGAAACTTCGTTCTTTAAGTGTTCAATGAACTAATCCGCAAAGCACATTGGTAAAAGAAAATCGTCAGATTTCTTGCACTACTTGATCAAAGAAAAATAAAGAAAAGTTGTTAAAAGATTGGTAGGTGACAATATTGACAGTAAGCCACCAACAATCCAGATAAAGCCCGACAAATCTTTCCCGTGGCAAGTAAAGGTACATAAGACTGCTACTTCTAAGACCATTTCCTCCCTTTCTTTTAAATGGTCACCAGAAATTGTTTAAGACAAGTTTGGTACTGATATTAGGTTCCTAATATGAAATTAATCTCCATTCCAAGATGCCTGTAGTTTCTACTTTACACGGGTTTATTCATGAATTTGTTCTAAGAAGAGCTATGGGCAAGCATGGGGGAAAGGAAACTGGTTAAATTACTATTGTATGCAAAAAGATGTGGGGAAAAGAAGCATTTTTCTTTACCCAAAAAATATTTTGGTTGTTAAAAAATGAAGAAAATTGATTCAAGAATTCTCATGAGTCATGAATGATGAGTTTGGAACCACGTTGAAGCTCTGAAACTAACTGCTTTGAGTAAATTATTTGATATAATACATGTTGCAACAACAGGAAGGCATCTCTCATGTAAAAGGATTAGTGTTTGAAGCAGGGTTATGCAACATTGTCCAAAATTGAGTCCTTATAGAACACGGTATTGACTGAACCAAGTCATAATAAAATCCGGTCATTATAGAAAATTTATTAATGTGCACTTTTAATTTTATATGTAAAAGATAGGTCAATAAATATTGAAGAAATCAAAGTGGTTAGGTTCGTAAATTCTTCCCCCAACAGAAGATATATGTCCATGCGGATTTATATGTATACAAAGAAATTATTTAATTCATTATCAATGTATTAAAAATAAACACTTTATATATATTTATTTATTTATTTTCCAACAAAACTTTTAGATACGGAATAAATAAATTTAGAATTGCATAAAAAAATTGGCAAATAATATGTAGGTATATATATTAATTATTAGAATGGTACCAAAAAAAAAAAAAATCCATCCAATTATAAATAGTTGCAGAACATTGATTTTGCAAGTGTGAAGGAGACATGCATAAACAATGCTTCTTGTTATGATATATAAATGAACTTTGTGTTAACCATTAAGGTGACTCATAAGAAAGCAAATATTGCTTTAATGACTTTGCTTTTTTTTCCTCAAACCCATAATTCAAGATCATTAACCTTTTATATGGGGAATATAAGATTTTTCTTGCCCTTCCAAAAATTAAAGGAAAATGCTATTATCCTTTTAGACATTTTTTCATTCATTTTTTTTGACCCATTACAAAATTATAACTATTTCCCTTTATTGAACATCTAAGAGATATTTTATATTAATTTTTACTTTATTTTTTGAATTAAAAAATTATAATTTATCAATGTTTTTTAAAAGTATTAAGAACAATCAAATCCAAATTAGTCATAAGAGATTATGTGTCAAATGAAGAGAATACATAAAAAAAGTTTAAGAAAAAGAAAGATATAAGAGTCAGTACTTAACAGAAAAGTTTGCATAGCAATATTCTTGTATTGGTACATAAAGCAAATTACCCTTCACTTTAATTTTTTTTTTTCTTTTCCAATATGAATTGTTGTTATAAAATGGGAAAGTGTACGTCAAACAGTATCTCAAGTCTCAACCAAATTACAACTTCAATTCAAGTGTAATGAAATAATATGCTCTACTTATTTGTTAATAAGGATTCAAATAATGGCTTTGTGGCATGCGTTGCGGGTGTTATTTCGCGATTTAAATAATGACTATGATACATTCCAAACTCACCCTTTGGTAAGAAATATACAAGCTAAAAAAAATTCTTTAAAACCTCATTTTTATATTTTTCTCTCTCTAAAATGAAATTCTCTAACTTCTCTTTAACCTAAAAAAATGAAGAACCTCAATTATCTCAACCCAAAAACCAACTAGACTCCACTGTTATTTTACTTTTTTTTTCTCCTAATATTCAAATAATTTATTGGTTCAAATAAAAAAATTTTATTTATAAATTGATTGACCAATCCATGAATGTCATTGGATTCAATAGTTGGCTTATATGAGTTGCTCCAAAAAGCTTTACTCCATGTATGAATAATTAGTAGATCTCGTTAAATTCATACAAATATATTTTTGTGACGTCATAAAAGAAGAGAGACAAGTAACATTACTTCTGAAAATGACTATTTGACTTAAATAAAAAAAAAACACCACCATATATTTTGTATAAAAAAAGTCAAAGTTTTCAACTATTTAAGACAACGGCATCCAATAATTTCAAATATTTATTACAATTAATTTTCTTTTTATTGTCATTTCAATCTTTAATTTTTAATTATTTTGCACTCGAAAAACTTTAAATATACTAAAAATTTGAAAAACAAATCATTTAGTAAAAGTAATATAATAATAAGTAATAATATTAATGTCCAACACTTGACAAAGAGGCTCACATAAGCATGGGTACATATGCATTTTTTTTTTCTTTTGCAAAATATAAATCGTTACTATAATTAGGCAAACATTATCCTGAACAAATTACAACATCAATTCAAGTATGATTAAATATATGCTTTCCTTAATTGTTAGGCCACCAGAATTTGGACTGAAGATTTTTCACCACATTCTTGTCCAATTGGAAGGCCTTGACAAGAACATCAGGATTAATGGGTGGGTTTGATCCAAACACTGCATTGGCTATTGTAATGACACCAGGATTCTGGCTGCTAAAACCAGCAAAGGCAACGGCGCTGGTTTTCCCCACATTGAACTGGAAGTGAATGAGGCCAACAGGGAAAACAAACACATCTCCAGGGTATAGGACCTTGGTGATTAGACGATTATCTGGGTTGGATGTAACAAAGCCAACGTAGAGTGTGCCCTCCACAACGACTAGAATTTCCGTGGCACGAGGGTGAGTGTGAGGGGGGTTTAGGCCACCATCGGGTGCAAAGTCAAGTCGAGCCAATGAGACTCCAAGAGTGTTAAGTCCTAGTATCTGGGCAACATTGACTGGAGTCACAGTTGATCCCACTGGATTTGATGTGTTTCTTGGGATGTTGAGCCCTGAAAAGAAGAAGTCTTCTGCTTTGGCAAGCTTTGGATCCTTGCAGAACTTCCCATTAACAAACACTGCATATATGAAGAGAAAAAATATGTTATTTTCATTATTCCATGCAAAGCTTTTAAATTGTTTTAGATAGTTTTCTTGCCCAGGAATTTTGCTTCCTGCTGAGTTGCTTTGTTTTAGGCACATATTTGAAGTAAGTTTAAGAATAACAGAGAAAAATAGAACATACCACCATCCTTGGTGTCATTGATGGCGACGCAGAAATCCTGGAGAGGGCTAGGATCAGATGCATAGGCAAATGAGGAAGCTAGAGCCAAGAGAGAAATTGCTAGGAGGAAATGAGCACCTTTCATTGTGATAATGTTGTTTCTAGCTTAAAATCTTGTAAGTTTGATTGCTTTGGAAGGGATAAGAAACTTTGCCTGAGAACATGCCTATTTATAGATTAATTGGAGTCTTTGAACAAGTCTATAATTTCTGATTTCAAGAAGCAAAGAAAGATTTACCAAGTCCGCTTCGATTTTTTTTTCCTTCTAAATTTCTGATGAATTGTTCTTCAACCACTATCCATGTCTACCCATCGAATTCCCTATCCCTATGCTTACATCAACACATAGTTTTGTCGTGGAAGTAGTCATTTCTGTCATTATATTATGTCTGATGTAGTACTAAAATACAGCATGAAACCATCTTGTTGACTTTGGCATAAATCCAAGTTGCTAACTAAACCTGCCGACGCAACTCCTGGTCATATAAGATACAATTAAAAATTAAGGTTAAATATAAAATTAACCTATGTATTATATATTTTTTGTTGGTTGGTACTTAAAAAAATGAAATTATTAATTGATATTTAATTTTTAATTCAATTATCTATTTTATTATTTTGAACTAAAACCGTTACTTAACTTATTAACTTGACATAAACAACCAATAAAATACCGATACTTGTCAAAAAAATTTAGGTAATGTCACGTTATCAATTGTTATATCCACACTAATAGAAAATTTTAAAAATTTTAAAAATTCTAAAAATATTTAAAAAATTTTGGAATATTTTAAAAAATTGTAAAAAATAAAAAATATCAAACAGTTTTAGAAATTATAAAAATTAAAAATTTTTTAAAACTTAAGAAATTCAAAAAAT